ATATATATATATATCATGGCATTATATATAAATCCATAAAATTTCTATAACATATACCTAACAAGGTTACAAACCACATTATTCGGTACCTCCCTTTTACTCCCTTGGGGCATTTGCTTTGATAGGTTGTTGTTGTTGTTGTTGTGTGCCTTCAAGTCTAATGTGTGCCTTATGGGAAGTCTAATATCACAGGGTTTTCTTGACGAATTTCTTCAGAGGGGCTCTGCCATTGCCGTCCTCTGAGGCTGAGACAGTGTGAATTGCCCAAGGTCGCCCAGTGGGTTTCCACGGCCAAGCAAGGATTCAAACCCTCGTCTCCTGAGTCCTAGTCCAATGCTCAAACCACTACACCATGCTCCAATGTTGCTGGTATGTTTTTAATGGTTTTAGATTTTTAACTCGGACTTTTAAAGGCTTTTTACATTTTTAACTCGTGTTTTATTAATTGTGTTTTAAAATTGTACTGTTGTTGTCTTTTAAGCATCTCTTGTGAGCCGCCTGGGGTCCAATTTGGGAGAAAGGCAGTATATAAATTAAATAAGTAAGTAGGTTATAAAATAAATCTGAGGAAGTGGGCTCAAGTCTACAAATACAAACAAAACTTGTGAACTTTCAAGGTACCAGGAAACTTTGGACTGGTGCGGATGCAACAGACTGACATCGTGGTCACCACCTTAGAAATGTCATAGAATCATAGAATCATAGAATGATAGAGTTGGAAGAGACCACAAGGGCCATCCAGTCCAACCCCCCTGCCATGCAGGAACTCCCAATCAAAGCATCCCTGACAGATGGCCATCCATGTCTTTGGCTTATGTGTGAAGGATACAGTAGGCACCACCAGCATCCAAGGCTCCATTGGTGGAGATGGCACATATGGACAGGACGGTCATGCCAATGATGAAATAGGCAACGACGAACATGACCAGAGCATGGTACAAGCCGGCCTGGCCCACCACAAAACCTGCCAAAAATGAAACAGAGAGAGAGAGAATGAGAATGAGAATACTTGTTACGTCTTCATTCGTATCCTCAATGCTGGGACTCCAAGTGCCTTAGCAAAATTAAAGACAGAAAAAAGCGCATGCAAAGGCATTCAGTAAAGATATACAAAAACGTTTGCTAAAATGCAATGCAACGACCGATAGAATTAGGACACATATTTCAAACACTCACAATAAAAGGACAAAATTAAAATCAGGGGAACACTATACTATTTGCACTCATGTTGTTTAATGTCCTAAAATCCTGCCAGAAGAGAAGACTTTTCATCCTATCCTCCTTAGGGATGGAGTTCAAAAGTCTGGAAGCAACCACCCCAAGAGGTGGTCCCTGGTGGTCCAAAACGCACTGCAGAAAGAATCCAGTTTGAGACCACTTTAACTGCCCTGGCTCAATGCTAGGGGATCCTGGGAATTATAGTTTATTGTGGAGCCAGAGCTCTCTGACAGAGAAGGCTAAATGTCTCACAAAAATAAAAGTTCCCAGTTTTTTTGTGTGGGTTTTTTGTGCTATGTGGCCATGTTCTAGAAGAGTTTCTTTCTGACATTTCGCCAGCATCTGTGGCTGGCATCTTCAGAGAATGCTGGAATGGAAGAGAGTGGAGACCCTGGGTAGAGCGGATTATATATATGCCCATTCTCTTCCATTCCAGCATTCTCTGAAGATGCCAGCCACAGATGCTGGGGAAACATTAGAAAGAAACTCTTCTAGAACATGGCCACACAGCCCGAAAAACCCACAAAAAACTATGGACGCCGGCCATGAAAGCCTTCGACTTCACAAAATTCCCAGGATTCCCTAGCAATGAGCCAGGGCAGTTAAAGCGGTCTTAAACTAAATTCTTTCTGCAGTGTGTTTTGGACCTCCTGTGTTCCCACCAGCCATGTCTACGAAATGGTGCAACTGTGTTTGGAGGGCTGCAATGGCCCCAGTTTTCCTTGCCTTCCTCCAGTGCTTCTCTCTTGTCCAAAGTGGCCATTCCTATTTTGGAAGAGAAGCCCACAAACAAGTTAGGACCCAGTCCTCAATGCTGGAAGGGCCCTCCAAAAATTGCCTGCTCACAAATGGAGTGCTGCTGTTGTTTTTGTTGTTGTTTTTATTTTATTTTATTTTATTTTATTTTATTTTTAAGGGTTGGGTGGGTTGGGGGGGACTTGGTGATGTGTTTTACTTCTGTATTGTTTTAACTTGTTGTACGCCACCCTGGTTGCCTAGCAGAGGGGCATGTTAAAAATAATAATAATAATAATAATAATAATAATAATAATAATAATAATAATAATAATTTGTTGTGTGCCTTCAATTAGTTTCCTACTTACGACGCCAAGATTTGTTCAGAGGGGGTTTGCCATTGCTTTCCTCTGAGGCTGAGAGCATGTGACTTGCCCAGGGTCACCCAGTGGGTTTCATAGCTGAGCTGGGAATCGAACCCTGGTCTCCAGAGTCATAGTCCAGCGCTCAAACTCCTATGCCACCCTGGCTCTCCAAATGGAGCTACTCCTTAAGAATATCTTTCAAAGGACTATTTCTTTTTCAGCATACACTCCCCTAGCGATTCCTTCTCTGAAAGATAGAACTCACCAGTAATGAGTGCAAGTAACTTAGCTAAATGTAACTAGTTACTTTGGGGATTACAAGAGTGTAACAAAGTCACATTTCAAAGCGAATGTCATAAATAAGGGTGATGTTATTTAATGGTGTAATAAATAACAGTTCCAAATTACTTTCAAAAGTTACTTTTACAGCAATTGGATAGGTTCCCCCCCCCAAAAAAAATGTAATGCCTTTCTCTTACAAATCTTAAGGCTCTTTGCTCTCAATAAAATCGCATAAAATAGTTGAAAGTAGCAGCACAACTCCTGCAACAAGTTACTTTTTCCACCCAGCAGCAAAGGCCAGCAGCTTTTCAAGCGCTTGTAGGAAGAAATGGGGACAAACTTTCAAAAAGTAACTTTCCAAGCTGTATGAAAAGGTTCACTTGCCATTGTTTTTACAAGTTTCAAGTAAAAAGCTTGTCTCTGTGTGTGTGTGTGTGTTGTTTTGGCTTTGTTTTGCCCAGTTCACTTCTTGCTTCAATGCTGGATTTTTGACTGCATCTTGAGTTGGGTGAGGGGTTCCCCCCCTGCAATGTATACCTTTATGATCTTTTTTCTCTGCAAGACATCATGATAGCCACAGCGGAAGTGCGTCCAACAAACGATCTTTTTTTATTAGTATTATTGTTACGAACAACAAAATGAGAGCAACATTAAGAAGCAGATGCAAGTAAAAGAGCCAGCATGGTGCAGTAGTAGTTTGAGTGCATGACTAGGGCTCTGAAGACCAGGGTTCCCTGCTCAGCGGTGGGAAACCACTGGGAAACCTTGGGAAAGTCACAGTCTCTCAGCCTCAGAGGAAGGCAAGGGCAAAGCCCACCTGAATAAATCTTGCCAAGAAATCCCAGTGATAGGTTCGCCTTAAGAGTTACTGTAAGTCAGGCTTCCCATGCTGAGTTTTGAGGAAGAGATATTAAAAAATAACAACGGTTCCACTTTCAAACTTAAATACTAGCTGGATTTGTATTTTTTGTATTTTTAACTGTTGTTAGCCCCCCCCCCCGATTGTGCTCAGAGGGGTGGGGTATAAATAAAAATATTATTATTATTATTATTATTATTATTATTATTATTATTATTATTATTGCCAGGTGTGCCACAATGGGCCACCAACATACCAAACGTGAGCTTTTGATCTGTTCTGTATATTTTAAATTTATTGGAATTGGTTTTAATTAAATCTGGTTTAATAATTTTTTAAGGGGGTGGGTGGGAAATACGTTGGTTTTAGGCTGTATTATTTTAATGTTGTGAACTGCCCGGATTGGGTCACCAATGGGCGGTATATAAATAAAATTTATTATTATTATTATTGTTATTGTTATTGTTATTGTTATTGTTATTATTATTATTATTATTATTCTGGAAATGCCCACCGATTCCAAAACCTTCTCAGTGAGTAACAGAGTGACATCAAACCCAGGTCAAAGTTAAGGTAGTACTGCCTTCATTTAGTGACTTATTAACTTGTGGAATTCACTGCCACCAGATATTGTGATGGCTTACCTACTGGAAGAGAGAGCCATTGCAAAAGAGGTCAGAGCAATTCAAGACAGGCTGGACTACTAATAGCAATTAGACTTAGCAGGGCAAGGGAGACACTGGTATTCAGGGGCAATTTATGGTTATTTTATTTAGACTGTGTCACCAATGCAGAGCACAACAGGACCTTCCCTGCCCAGCTTACAGTTTGTGATTCAACACGAAGGAGGAAACAAAGGAAAGGAACCAGGGCTAAACAAGGAAGCAACACACTGTTGTTCTGGTTGAATGTGGTTAGGTCTAGTTGCAGAGTGACGCCCGAACGCGGTGGGAACAACGAAGTTGATTTATGGGAAAGGCAGGTTTTAAGGAAGCATGTGATGGAAGTAAGAGATGAATCACCATACAGGTGGTCTGACAGAGAGATGCAAGCATCATGGACAGCAAGCAAGGCAGAGCCAAGCCACATGAAGGGATGAGAAAACTAAACCAGGCAATGGAGGGTTGTGGAGTCATATCAGGAAAGACCATGGGTAGAGATCATAGACCAGGGGTCCCCAAACTACGGCCCGCGGGCCGGCCCCGGCCCATTAAGGTCTTCTTACCGGACCATGGCCGGTCCTGCCACCGCCGCCACTCGTGCGTGCTGCCGGGCACCATTTTGTTTTCCGAAATGGCTCCTGAAGTCATGCGCATGTGCCTGGTGTCGCACGTGCATGCGCTCTACTCCAGGTGCCATTTTGGAATACACAAAACAGCGCCATAGTGTGCATGCATGTGCGACGCAGGGTGCCATTTTGTATTCCAAAATGGCATCCGGAGTTGTGCACATGCGCCCGGCGTTGCGCACGCATGCGCATGACTCAGGGCGCCATTTTGGAATACAAAATGGTGCCACACGTCATATGCACAATACTCCGGTGCTGTTTTGTATTTGGAAAACAAAATGGCATCTGAGTCATGCGCATGCGCGTGCATGCGCACACACGTCTCCAGTCTCTCCCCCCCGGAGATCTGGGGGGCAGAGAACCGGGCCCCAGATCAAAAAGTTTGGGGACCCCTGTCATAGACCTTTAGAGCTACATAGTCAAGCTCACTTCATCAATCCCACAACTCAAGGCAGGACAAAGGTGCAGCATCCCCAACAGATGATCACAGCTTTAATGTCTTTAATGGGTTTCAACTTCTGGTCTTCCAGATGGTTTGGAATTCACTGCCACCAGATATTGTGATGGTTTGGCCACTGGACTTCATCTCCCATAATTCCTGACTGTTGGCCAAGCTGACTGGGGCTTCTGGGATATGAAGTCCAAAAAAAAAAAAAAAATAGAAGCCCAATGGTTGGGAACTATTGAGTAAATGCAAGAACAGAGAGAGATGGGGTAAGCAGGGCCATTGAGGACTCTCAGGCTAAAGGCTTACCGTGGATCCCAAAATGGACAAAAAGTGGGTTACATATCCAAGGAAGGGTATTGTAGGATAAGAGCAATGTGGGAGAAGTACCCATTTGTGGAGCAAGGTGCTGGGTGAAAACGGCATCTATTAGGGAAAAAAATAATATGGGAGAGCTAATCTCTATCAAGCCCCAAAGGGACTGGCCTCTCTTGTTACCCAAAGAAAGGTGGGAGACTGGGGGGGGGGGTCCCCAACAAGTATGTCAGCATTACTTTAAAAGTTGGGGAAATTAGCTTTGCAAGAGGCTGGGTAACTGATTCATTGTGGCAGCGGTACCCCGTTTCCGCCACGGAGCAGATGGCGCACCACCAGCCTGTCTCGCTTGATCCGTTGCAGAGGTGGAGTGTGAGTGTATGTGCTAGGACCCAAAAGATGGTGAACTATGCCAGGGCAGGGCTGGTGGAGGCCCATGGTAGTCCTGATGTGCAAATTGGTCATCCGACCTGAGTATAAGGATGAAAGACTAATTGAACCATCTAGTATCTGGTTTCTTCTGAGGTTAGGAATAGCAATAGCATTTACGTCAGAAAGAAACTCTTCTAGAACATGGCCACACAGCCCGAAAAACCCACAAAAAACAATAGCATTTACATTTCTATACCGCTTATCAGTGACCTCAGCACTCCCTAAGCAGTTTACAACCTGTAAGCCAGTTGCCCCCAACAAGCTGGGGACTCATTTTACCGATCTACAAAAAGATGGAAGGCTGAGTCAACCTTGGAGCCTTGCTTGGGATCAAACTCACAACCTTGTG